TCTAATTTCCTGATTTCGATTTTGAATAAACAGTTTAATTTCAGCCATCTCATCAGCAACATCTCGCATTTTATCCTCAAACGCCGAAGTAATTTTTTTTTCTGTAACAGAGGCTTGTGTTTTAAGGGCTTTCTGCAACATTTCAAGTGTTAATATTGGTGGTTCCATTGGAGCAGTGAGGGATTGCAATTTGGATGTTTGAGCTGGCGAGCTCCCAGCACTTTTAACAACAGTCTTTATTTGTTTTGAAGCCATTTTTAATTTCCAATTTAAATTTATTCAGCAACCAGAACAACAGATACACCAAATCCAAAAGTTTCCAATCTTTAAATAATGTCAATCATTTTTTTAAGAACACTACTACAGTCTTTTTGACCTTTAATCTTCTTTCTTTCAAAGCAGGGATCTCTAGTTTTAAACAGGGGCTACCAGCGCTAAACAGAACTTTCCTTTTAACTTTCACTTTCATGCCCCATTAGAGCTCAATCGCCATCTTGGTTTCACTTTCTTCCCTTAATAGCTCAGAAGGAAATAATACACATTTGGAGTTAAAGTTTAGTACTTGCAAATCTGATGTCTCCTGGCTTTGCTCAGCCTGCTTCCAAATCCACTGTTTAATTCAAAGCATTGTTTGCAGGGATGGTCATGGCGTCTTGTTCTGCTTAAAGCAGAATCGCCCCAGATCCGGAGCTCTGTCGGGCTTCCAGGGAGCTCTCACCCTTCGAGCCCCAGAATTGTTCCTGGGGCTTCTTGGGGAGCTCTACCTATGCCCGTCTGCTCTCTTCCTCCCCTTTTCCCAGGGAGAAAGTTTCTAAGCCTCTAGACAGCTGATTTGCGCTGTTCTAGCGGCTTTACGCGATTGCGGGGCTGGCGCTCACAAAAGGAGCGTCTTCGGCGCCTACGGTGCCACCAGAAGTCCGTCTCCTAGATTGTTTCATTGTTCAAATACTAATGTATCAAGGCATCCAATATCAGCAATGTTCACATTGTTTTTCCATCTAGATGTTAACGGGAGATGCATAAGAAAGGATTGCAGCAGAACAACTTATTATTGTTCCTGCAATAATATACACATCAGATGAAATAGTTGCAAGGTACAATGTTCCATCTATTGGTCTGTTTCAAATTTAAATTAATACAACTTTGTTGTCACCTGCTATTGTTCTGTTTTGAGCAAATGATAATGAATTCTTGTTACGAGTTTGTACAGCAAATTCACTATAGTCTAATAAAATATCTGATGTTTGTGTTAATATTTAATATCATATTTAATTTTGGAGGTTAGATTATCATTTATTTCAAGAAAGGGACAATTTAAATAAAGTTCGCTAATCATGATGACATTAGATGGAGCACCAGTCCTGTTTAAATGCACTTGGACTCTCATAGAAAGATAGGAAAAAAATTATTGTGAGGGTTATGTATAATGCCATTCTAATAAGTATGCTTTGAAAAATGATTATGTAATTGTATAGGTATTCAGATTATTTATTTATGGTATGAAATGATTAAAAGTATTTTATTATGTGTGCGTATGCGTGTGTATGCTTGTGTGTGTGTATATATATATATGTGTGTGTGTGTGTGTGTGTGCGTGTGTGTGCAGGTGTATGTATATTATGTTATGTGTTGTATTATATTATGATATTACATTATGTTACATTATGTTATATTATAAAGCAGAGAACTAGCATAAAAACATGAGTCTTAGATGCGGGGATAATCCTCTGCTCTGGGTTTAACCAAATGAAAACTGTTTCCAAAGTTCCCTTAGTTGTCTGATAGGGGACTCTTGGAAATAGCTTCTAAGTTGCCAGGAATCCATGACCCAAGAAATAGGGGTATAGTTTTCCTTTGGTTTTTTATTGATCCTTCCATTTCTTAGATTGCCATTGATTTTTAGAATCATACCAAACTTTAATGTACTAATTACGTACTACTCCATTCTGAAATTCAAGGTTGCAAATGTGAGCGCTTTCCTGGACTGCCATTTGTTGCCAATGTCTAATCTGTTACAGCTAAATTGCTTCCTGATTCCCTAGTATGATTGTAACTTTGGAGCAGTATAACTAATATACAGTATATTCAGTGTAAGGGACTTCACTGAGCATATGTTTACAATTTTTGAGATTCTTTCTTATCCATGGCAAAAGAGTTTGTTTGTGCAGCTAAGAGAACCAATTGTTCCAGTGCTCAACCTCTTTACAACCTACTGGACACCAAGAAAAAAATGAGGTTTGAAGCAATGGAAGAATCTGTATCCTGGAAACTCTATCACTGGCAGTGATAATTTGAATAAAAATTGGATAGATATTTGTATTTTTTCCTGCTCTGGACTTGAAAACCTTCAAGATCCCTTTCAAATCTATCAGTCTATGTAATCTTCCCAAAACCCTTTTCAGATTCTTTCCAAATTACCTCTGAACTATGGGTAGTCCTTGAGTTAGGACTGTAATGGAGCCTACACATGAAGGTTGTAATGTTAAATAAATCACGCTAAATGAACGAGCCTCCTCCCTGCTTTCCCCAATGTATTCATTAATCAAATGTGCAGATCATTAAGCACACACGGGGTACCTCAGGGATGGAGAAGACCATGGGAAGCCTAGTACAGGAACAAGACCACCCACTTCCAGCCATCCAAGGCCTCCCCCTACCCATTTTTGGGGTCCCCACAGCTGCTTGGGCCTTCTCTGCTCAACCCTATATCACTGATAGCTCACTTACCTTTCAAAGATCTCCAGAACAGGCTGTCCACATAGCAGAAAAGCAGCTATCTTTTTCTCAGACATTGGCAAATCTGTTTTCCTTAGATCTTCTTACACACATTTGTTTTTGCATTTGTGTGTGTGTAAGAACACAAGATCTAAGAAAAACAGCTTTTCCAGCATTTGAGAAAAAGATGGCTGCTTTTCTGCCATGTGGGCCAGCCTTTTCTGAAGCTGTGCAGATTTTTGAAAAGTAAGTGAGTGATCGGTGATGGGGTGGGGAGGAGCACATGAAACACGGTGAGCTATCAAAGCAGGTTTGTGGAGATCCAGCAGAGCAGGGTGGCAAGGAAAATAGGCAGGAGGCACATTACAGCTTCTCCATGATTGCTCATAAGGGTGAATGGCTGCTGTTTTGCTGCAACATATGTAATTTTGGAGTAAGTACTTAAGTACGTAAGTACTTTGGGGATATGTGTCATAACTTTGAACTAAGTAAATTGTCATAATTTGAGGAGTATAAAGCATTTTATGCTTTATACTTCTCATCCCCCCTATATTTATTTCTGTGCATAATGGTTTCATTTTATGACGTTAATTATGCAGAAATAATGTAGGTAATGCGGGTCCAGCTGGATGATCACTGAAGGGCCCTCTTTATTCATAGTATTGTAAGAAAGAAAATGTGCTTGTTTGAGAGAAGCAATTATATCCAGTTGAAACAGTACAAAGATAATGAGAAATTCCTTTCAAGTAGAAACATTCTACAAGAGGGGCCCCTCAGTTGTCAGAGATAGAGACATTTGGTGATATACAGTTTGAAGGTTAAAAGAGACCAAGGATGACCACATGAAATATCAACAAGAGATAATTTGAATCTATGCTTCAGTGATTTACAAGAAGAATTATGACTGTTTGGCAAAAATAATATAATTAGAAAAATGTCATTTGATGTAACGAATGTCTGCAATGATAAAACTGCTGAGTTAACAGAATCCTTTGTCTTAGAAGGGTATAAAACCATTGCAACTAAGTTCTGTCTTTGTTCACAGCTTCATGTAAAACTGGCTCTGAACCTATTGCGCAATATACTGTCTCTGACTAACCTAGAAAAGTTGTGTTGGTCTAATTAATCCACAACAAAAAGAAAAACAAATAATGACCTGCTTATTTTATGGCACTTCTTTAAAAAAATGACAAAGAATGTTTTAATAAATATTCTACAGTAAATTAGAGTAACATCAGGATAAAGCATCTTGTGCTCATATTAATTTTTATTTCCTGATTTCATGCTTTAAAATATTATTATTATGTTTACAACATACTGCAAAAATCACACAAAAATATTATTATCATTGGAATATATGCAGTGGTGGGATTCAAGTAATTTAACATCCGGTTCTCTGCCGTAATGATTTCTTCCAACAACCTGTTTGCCAAAGTGCTCCGAAAGTTAACAACTGGTTCTCCCGAAGTGATGCGAACTGGCTGAATCCCACCACTGAATATATGTTAGTGATAACATATATTGTGTTAGAAGGATATATTTTTCTGAAATAACCTATCACAGCAAAATATTAAAGCTTGGAAATAAAAAGTAATGAGCATGTTCCCCTCTGCAATTTTTTTTTTTTCAATTTCCTAGTCTAGCCTACAGCCTTGAGATTTCGTGATGGTGCTTTCTGATCTGAGGTTAGCTTAATGCCTGTGCAGCAAGTCAATTTTTTTGGGGGGGAGGGGAGGTTATTTTTCAGGCTTGTTAGTATTCAGACATTTTCAAAGCGCTCACTGACAGATATGGGGCTCTTTCTCAACTCAATCTTCACCACAGGATTGTTGAAAATGAAATGCAATTATAACTCTGAAAAAGGGGATAAATATATAATATATAAATAATGTATTTTGACTTTTTTGAAAATTATTCTTTATCTCTGCAATCATTTTTGTTTTTGTTTTGTTAGGGGGGAATTCTGTGGCAATTTATTGACTGTGCAATTTTTGATGCCTGCAGTAGTTATCTAAATAATAAAAAGTAAAGTATAAATAGTATAGTAAATAACAATCTGGTACAAAATTTGTATTTGCTTCAAAACCTTTCAGATAAAGTTTCTGTAAGTAGAAAACAAAACTTCCATTTATTAATTACAAAAGCTGTCCATCCCTATTATAAAATTCTCCATAGAACGAAACCTACCTACCTAATAATTAAAAAAATAAACATTAAACATATTAAGTATTGATGGTTTCAATTTTTTTTGTTGACAAAAGCGTCTTCATTTATTCAGTTCTTACCTTTTCCTAATTTCTGAATCCACAACAATTTGCCTCTTCTTGGGAAGTGGCACTTGTGGGAGCTCCTCTTTACCATGTTTAACCAGGATCTGCTCTCTGGTGGTCACCATAGTCACAGTTTCCATTACTGTGGTCTGTGTTAGTGATGTTTGAGTAGCAGCAACAGCTTGTGAAATCTGTGAGAAGTATTGAAGCAGAGGTCACACATTACCTGAAAGGCTTTAATTAAGATGTTTAGAGTGGTAATAGAAAATAAAAAGAAATTGTTCTTTCTTGTTCATGAACTTCAGAACAAAACAACACTGTATTGTACTGCAACCAAATTGTTTTATCTGACTCATGCTAGGTGAATAAGACATGAAAAAGTCAATATTAAAATGAGAAGCAAACTCAAACAGAATGTATTGTAGCACATTTTGTACCAAGTAAAGCACAAGCAAAAAATACAAAGGATTAATTGTATAAGGCAAATTATACAAATATACATATTTGGATACTCCTGCCCCCCTTTTAATATAGCTACTTCACCAGAGAAAAAGCAAATGTTTTTTTTAAACTAAGATTTTTAAAAAATCAGTTAAATCTTCACAAGCATTTCATTTTATTTTCTGTTTCCATGTTTATTACTGAAGTTATTATTTAGAGAACTCAGTGGAAAAAGATGTATTCCTGATGCCATTTCAAGATTCTTTCCTCCATCTTAGAACAATTATTTCTTTGTCTTCTAGTAAAAAAGCCGAGAGCACCAGCCGAGAGCCTAGGGTAGGGGTGGGGCGGTGGCAGTTGTTATTAAGGAGGCCCAGGTTCCGCGGGAGGTCCCTGTTTCGCAGATAGACGGATGTGAGTCCCTCCTCATGAGATGGGGCCCTCAAGGGCAGTTGGGCCTGTTGATTACATACCTTTTGCTCAGCTGCATATCAATGGCCCTGCCCGGGCTGCTCGACGTCCTATCGAGGCTGGTGGTTGAGTTTCCCAGACTTATTGTGCTGAGGGACTTCAATCTGCCTTCTCTGGGTGGGGCGTCGGGAGCGGCCCAAGAGTTCATGGCTTCCATGGCAGCCACGGACCTGACTCAGATAATTCAGCGTCCGACCCATGTGGGGGGACACACGCCCAATCTTGTTTTTGGTATCCTGCTGCGATGCCTCGAGGGGTTGGGGGTGGGAAGCACTGTTCTATGGTGGTTCTCCTCCTACCTCTTGGGGCGCTCACAGGCGGTGTTGGTGGGGGGGCAGAGATCAGCCCTGAGGCCCCTCACTTGTGGGGTGCCCCAGGGGTCAGTGCTCTCTCCTCTTCTGTTCAATATTTATATGAAGCCGCTGGAGGAGGTCATCCATGGTTTCGGGGTGAGGTATCATCAGTATGCTGATGATCCCAGCTTTTCATATCCACCCCGAACCAGCCCAGTGATGTCCTCGACGTGATGTCCCGGTGCCTGGAAGCGGTACGGACTTGGATGGGGAGAAACAGGCTTCGGCTCAATCCTGCCAAGACCGAGTGGCTGTGGGTACCGGCATCTCGGCTCGAACAAGATATTCCATCTCTGGCTATAGGGGGTGAAGTGTTACCCCCTGTAGATAGGGTGCGTAACTTGGGCGTCCTCCTGGATTCACGGTTAAATTTGGAAGATCATGTTATGACCGTGATCAGGGGGGCATTTGCTCAGGTTCGCCTGGTGTGCCAGTTGCGCCCTTATTTGGACCGAGATGCCCTACACATGGTCACTCATGTACTCGTCACCTCCCGTATTGACTACTGCAATGCTCTCTACATGGGGCTGCCCTTGAAGACCACTCGGAGGCTTCAGTTGGTGCAGAATGCAGCCGCGCAGGTAGTGATGGGAGTGTCCCGACACTTCCATGTTACACCTCTCCTGCACGACTTGCATTGGTTGCCGGTTGCCCTCCGGGTGAGATTCAAGGTGCTGGTGATCACCTATAAAGCCCTACATGGCTTAGGCCCGGGATATTTGGTGGACCATCTGCTGCCAGCAACAGCTTCCCATTGCCCGGTGCGCTCTCACAGGGAGGGCCTACTCAGGGTGCCAACAATGTTGGCTGGTGACCCCAGGGAGAGAGCTTTCTCTGTAGGCGCACCCACCCTTTGGAATCAACTCCCTCTGGAGCTCCGGGTGGCCCCCGACCTTCGCTCCTTCCACCGTGGGCTGAAAACATGGCTATTTCATCTAGCCGCCCTAGACTGATGGGGTTTTTAATAGAACTTTTTTTAAAAAAAAAATTGATTTATATGCCGCCCTTCTCCGGAGACTCAGGGTGGCTTACAATGCATTAAGCAATAGCCTTCATACTTTTTGTATATTTATACAAAGTTAGCTTATTGCCCCCACAAACTGGGTCCTCATTTAACCTACCTTAGAAAGGATGGAAGGCTGAGTCAACCTTGAACCTGGTAAGATTCAAACCCGCAGTAATTGCAGGCAGCTGTGTTAATAACAGGGTGCTTTAGACCACTGTACTACCAAGGCCCTTAACTTAATGGAGTTTTATTGGATTTTTTGTCAATTTTATCACGGACTTTGTTTTTAACCATCTGTTTGTTTTGTTTATTGTTGTGAGCCGCCCTGAGTCCTGTGGAGATAGGGTGGCATATAAATCCAATTAAATAAATAAATAAATAAATAAATAAATAAATAAAAAAAAAAAACAAAAACAATAAAAGGCAGGTATTCTCCCTCACTGAGGCAGGACATGGAAGGATTTTTTTCTACCTCTTTCATAATTCTCAGAGCAGGTTCCACCTATCATCTATCTATTCATTCATCTGTCTGCTTAGCACCAAAGCCTTCTATTCATATTGTTTGGGTTCCAAGTAATACACCCATAGCAAACAGGACTCCGAGGTAGGTAGATTCCTCAAATAATAGTTTTATTGGACATATCATATTGGCACAGTCTGGTGAAAACCAACTCTGAATGTTCTTGTGGTTTTCACCTAATTAAAAGTAAAAGTTTTTCCCATTTCCCAAACAATCAGTCACATGGTCCAATCTGGTTGCCTGGTAACTTCACTCCTCCTCTCTACGGCCACCTGTGGGAATGTCCTTGGTTCCCAGGAGAAATTATTTTGTTTTGGCTACAAAACCCCAGCTATTTCTATTCCCCCCTCCCTATCCCTCAGCTCCAGTGTGGCAGCTTAGGTCAGCTTAGCTTCAGGGTTGAACCCCAACCCTTAATTGAAAAGGACTTCCCGCAAAGAAAAGAAATCACATAGATGTTACTCAAGGTTCAGCCTAACCTCCCCTTCCTCTCCCTGGAGGGCCCCTAGGTTTCTGGGGGTATTTGTCATGAAACTGTTTGACCAATCTATCTGCCTTCACATCCCAGTTTTTGACCCAGGTGGCTTCGGTGGGTACCCCTTCCATTGCACTAGGTACTGCAACTAGCCCCTATGTAATTTAGAATCCAGGATTCTCTTTACCTTGTTTCCCCTTGCACCGTTATTGGTTTCAGGGCCCAATCTACCAGCCTGATCTGAAAGCCTACTGCCGGCTTTAATAACTGCTGTGAAAGACTGGATGCACTTTCCCTAACAAGCAAGGGAGTTTAAGCTGTACCGTAACAGGGTTGATTATTTTCACTATAGGGAAAGGCCCTATGAACTATGGTCCTAGTTTTTTGCTAGGGAGTTTTAACTTTAGGTTCTTCATTGTTCCCCACACGGAATGGCACTTGGGGTCTGCAGCATTTGTCGGCTTGTATTTTATGGATTTTTGCCACTTCTTGTAAAGCCTGCTTAGTGTTTCTCCATGCCTCTTTCAGTGACTCCATTCATTCATTTAGTGACATGGATGAGGGGGGATCCCTGGAGAGTTCAGGCATCGGGACGAATTCCATGCCACTGGTGACCTGAAAAGGGGTCAGACCGGTGCTGCTGAAAAGGGGTCAGACGAGTGCTGCATTGCCTTATTGTATGCCACCTCAGCGAATGGCAGTAACTCTGCCCAATTAGACTACTGATAATTCACATAGCACCTCAAATACTGTTCCACCATGGCATTCGTGCATTCTATAGTCCCATTGGTACTTGGATGAAATGCTGAGCTAAACCCCTGCAAGGACCCAATGGACCTAATGAACCCCCTCCAGAATTTAGCTGTGATTTGGACCCCCCTATTGGAGATGATCCTGTGGGGAACACTATGCAATCTATAAATCTCCTTTATGAACAGTCTGGCTAGCTTTTTCACTGATGGGAGCCATAGGCAATTATGAAATGGGCTTGCTTTGACAACAAATCTATTATGGTCCAAATAACTGTATTCCCCCCACTCTCAGGGAGCTCAAAAATGAAATCCATGGCAATCTCCTCCCAGGGTCAGGATGGATCTGCCACCTGCTGGAGCAACCCTGGGGGTTTCCCTGGCCTTTTCTTCATGACTGCACAAGTGGCATAGCTTTTGACATAGTCCTCAATGTCTTTCTTCATCTTTGGCCACCAAAATTGCCTTCACACCAAGTGCAGAGTTTTCAAATAGCCAAAGTGCCCTGCCTGCTTAGAATCATGATTCTGCTGGAGTACTTGGAGTTGCAGGCTATTGGGCAAATACAGCTTTGAGCCTTTCCAGGCTAGTCCATTTCTCAGGGACAGGGCTTCTTTGTGGTCGCTATACCATGGGTCGCCTGGCAGTTCATCCCTTAGTTTTTTGGTCATTCCCCACCCTGTCTGCAGTTCTTTGTCATCTGGCCTGCCCTCTGGTTATGACTTGTGAGGCAGGCTGAGAGGGGGAAATCATAGCATGAACCACCTTCTCGGGTTTACTATTGTACTGTGATTTGTATGATAGGGCATCTGCCAGGAAGTTTTTCACCCCTGAGATGTATTTTAGCTTGAAGCTGAACCATTTGAAATACTGTGCCCAATAAACTTGCTTTGTGGGGGGTCTTTGTGGGGTTTTGAGTGCCTATAGGTTCTTATGATCAGTCCACACTTCAAACAGGACATGACTGCCCTCCAGAAAGTGTCTCCAGGTCAGTAGGACCCATTGGACCATGCAGGCTTCCTTCTACCACACCACCCATCTCCTCTCAGTCTCTGTCAATTTTTTGGAACTGTATGCACAGGGTTGCAAGTTGCTGTTGGTATTCCTCTGAAAGGAGAATGGGCTCCTTGGCCAATGAGGATTGGCTCCTTGGCGAATAGGGTCTTTAGTTCCTTG